ATCTTATTAATGCAAAAACTAGTTAAAAGTCCTATACCGTGCAGAGAGGTGACTGTGCCAAAGAAATATCAGGCAATCATTGTCTGCAAAATGATGAATAAGAAGATATATACTGTTGTGTTACCCCCTTCCCCACATACCCACCAAAAAGAAAGAAATACAAAAAAAAAGAAAAACCAAACACAGACACAAATAAATATATAGAGGACGAAAAGCAAGGGCGGTGGAATATAGAGGTAAGATGGCCCCGTTATTATACTTGTACAATACAATGCTCATAAACAGATAATTAATTGCACTTAAAGTAATAAGTAACCTGGCCAAGCATTGCAGCTTCCGCTTCTATTCCGCCAACTCCCCAGCCAGCAACACCTAACCCATCTATCATAGTTGTGTGGGAATCAGTACCAACAACACTGTCAGGGTAAAGCATTCCTCCATTGTTAAAAACAACTCGTCCAAGGTATTCCAAGTTCACCTGCAAGACAGGGTAAGAACAACGTTTAGATTATGCAACCATTAATTATCAGAAACTCCTCTGAGATAAAACTCTTAACACGACAGCAGATCAGATGCACCCTTCATGAATGATGTAATCTAATTACCTGGTGGACAATACCAGACCCTGGTGGGACAACAAGCATATTATTGAATGCATTGGAACCCCATTTTAAAAATCCAAATCTTTCCTTGTTACGTTGAAACTCAAGTTCCATATTTGCCTGAACTGCATTCGCTGATCTTGCCACATCAACCTGGACTGAGTGATCAATAACAAGATCCACAGGAACCTGCACGAAGAAGATGTTAACCCTCAGATAGTAGCTAAGAAAGTCAGCACGATGGAACAAATTCCACACAAGCCAAATATGTGCAGAATTTTGCTAATATAAATAATAGTTCCAAATGGTACAACAATAATGGTATTGCTGTGGAATCCTTACAATTGAAGTGACGCGTCAAATCATAAAACAATGTGTTTCTTCTATTTCAGTTATTTATGCCTCCTCATAAATTTTGGCCACACATAAAAGACTTAATAAATTAAAGTGTTATAAACAAAGAAAAGAAAAAAAATGCTCTAATTGTGGAGTATACATGTACCAGAGCTAAGATAAACAAGCCAGCATAAGGAAATCATTTCATCAGTTTCAACAATTTCAAACAGATAAATATCAAAATACATGCAGAGATTACAGAAGAATATATTGCATAAAGCATAGAAACAAGTGATTTAGCGTCAAGGGACCCAGCAACTTTTTAAAGCAGAATCAAATTAACTGAAGATGCTAAAGAAACTTTTGGCCACAATTTTCTATATCCAAACTATGAATTCTAATTGAAGATGAAACAAGGTCAGTATAAAGAATCCACATAATAATAGTTTACTGAAAATGCAGCAACTTTAGATGACAACTAATTCAACTATCACAGTTATACAGGCTACAATAATCTAAATAATTATGAGCAGAAACCAGATGAAAAAATTCACTTACTAATGGGTTAATTTTGTTTGAGTCACCACCAAGTCTATTCATGGCATCTCGCATGCAAGCGAGATCTACAACAGCTGGAACACCAGTGAAATCCTGAGAAAAAAAATTAGAAAATACTCAAGTTAGGCTTAACCACATCACATAAGAAATCCATCGACTCCTAGAATATATAAACTGCTGACTGGAATAAGTCAAATATTATAAAATTGCCCAGTTACACACTAATATAAAGTTTTTGCTTTCTCTATCCGCCATCACATTAACACTATCAATTACAGTTCCATTTTCTTCTATACACAAAATCGCCAAAATTCATAAAATACTCTTCATTCTAGTTCTGCCAACTCAAAAACTTAAAATTAAAAATAATAGCAATAAGAACAAGACCTGAAGCAGGACCCTCGCAGGCTTAAACGGGATCTCAACTTGCTTAGGAGCAGTATTCTCCCAGTCCAAGATCTTCTCCACGTCCTTCTCCATCACCTGAAACCCATCACAGTTCCTAATCGCCGATTCCAACAGAATCCTAATCGAATAGCCGATCTACAAAACAACACCATAAATCACCAAAATCCAAAGATAAATCACCAAAAAAAAGACCATAAAAACCTCTCAAACTCACTAATCCTCGGATCATCAAGCGCCGGCAAGCTGAAGTACTTCCCAAACTCTCCTCCTCCAGGCTTAGACAGCGTCGTCAAGATACTCTCGTAACAGTTCTTAGTGGCTACCGATCAAAGAAAAATTAAGAAAATCAGCTGAAAAAACATCAAAAATGGACAAGAAAACAGCAGATCGGGATCAGATCTGAGCATCTCACCCATGGAAGCGAATCTCCTCTCGAACCTCTCGGCGACGGCGGGCGATGACCGGATCAGCGCGCGTGGCTGATCGGAGATCGCCAATCAGTAGAAGTGACGGAGCGCAGCCGCCGATCTAGGGCTAGGGTTAGGGTTTGGAGAGATCGACGGAGATGAGAAGTTCAACAAGGAGGATGATCTGGAGGCGGCGGAGAGAGATGAGGCCAAGCGAGATGAGGATCGAGTGAGAGCCGTGAGGGTCATTATTGGGCTTTTTGGGAGAGAGCGAGAGATTGTTGTCGTTCTCGGTGTCAGAATTTATTTTCCTTTTTTTTTTAATAAATGTCAGGGATTATAATAAATAAATGCGGGAAAAAAGAGGGAGGGGAGGTGAGTGTGAACAGAGGCACGGAGAGAGGGTGAGGGCCTTATATACGGGGAGGAGACGCGTGGTGAGCGCACGCAGGGGTACTTTGGGGATTTCGACTTTTCATGTGGTGGGGGCCACTTGAACGGGCACGTGCTTGGAATTTGGACCGATGAGGAGGGGTTTGGATGTGGGGCTCGTGGCGGCGCGTGGACCAGGAAGATGGAGGAATAAAGTTCTTTTGTGGATAGATTCGCTCCAGCTGTACTTTAAAATGCGGGGTATATTTTTGACTTTTGTCTCCACAATATGATGATTAGGCTAGTTTATGAGAGAAGGTGTTCATTTATTAGATAAAAACATAATTACTCAGAAAATTTTGTCTTGGGGTAGAAGGAAAATAAAAATACTACACAGTGATCTATGAGTATTTTGTCTTATGCTAGTTTGATCCAGAAATTAGGAAAACATATATAAAATCGCATTGTTTTTTGATTGTTGCGCTGTTCGGCAAGTGCGCTGTTCGGCAAGCAAAGCATCAATAAGATCTGTAGTTCAAAAACTCATATAACTAACAAAAACTTTGATAGATTTGTATGACACAAAAGATGGAGGTGAGCACCCGAAATTATTTGTCCACACCCCCCTTTTCTTATTGAATATTATAGTCAATAATATAAAAAATGCGTGAATATATGAGAGACAACTGTATTTTGCATTGAAATGTTTCTTCTCCTTGTTTTATTGTACTATATTTTGATGATTGATACATTATGATTCCTATGACATTAAACAAAATTTAGATACAATGAAGCAATTGTAGGTTGCAACATGAGTTGAATAATGTAAAGGATATTGTCCTTTGGAGTTCTTGTAGGACATATTTCTTTAAAGATGACCTAAAGTTGTATTAGAAGGTCAATTGGGTCCTTTGTCACATCAATTCATGGCTTGTTAGGTCACTTTTAATAACCTTAGGTATGATTTGGTTTTTTTATGAAAGAATTTAATTTGTCTTCATTATTCTTGGTTGACTATATCCTTTTAACTTGATAGTGATCAAGTTTTGGGGGTTACACTTGCATTTTTTTTTTCTTGCACATGTGTGTTTGGAGAAAGTTTATGTTATTCTTGTTCTATAAGATACAAAACATGTGATTTTTTTTCCTGTGAAGTGCAATGAGAAATTATGTGTTTCTATAGATCTCACATTTTTCATCTCGTAGTATGTTTTCAAACCAAAATTTGTGTGGATCATGTTTGGATTATGTCTTCCCAAACAAATTAAAATATACACTACAATAGTTGACATCATGTTTATTTGCGCTTGATACCTTAATATAAAAAGAGTGATGCTACATGGACCCCAAATGAGGGGACCCTGTAGGGGACAGGTGAGGTGTCAAGTCCTCACTGGGCGTTGCACTGTTCATGAACAGTGCAACGCCCAGTGAGGACTTGACACCTCACATGTCCCCTACAGGGTCCCCTCATTTGGGGTCCCTAGGGCGTTTTCCAATACACAAAGATTCACAAGGACTGTAATTGTGTTAGAATTATTATATTAAATTGATAAATTATATTTAACTTAATTCTAAATGACCCATCTAAACGTACAAAGAATTTCACTATATCACGTAGCGTAGGGACGCGATGATCGTGCGTAATGTAAGTAGAATTTCTTTTTCCTAATACCTGAGTTATTTCACTTGATCTTTAAGATACCGTTTGGCAAATGGTTAAGTAAGGGGGTTAAGGAGACTTAATCTCTTATTAACCTGTCAAACTCAAAAAGTCTATATAAGGGTTAAAGTGAGTTAACACTCTATAATTTGCCAAACACAAAATATATAGAAATGTTAAGCTAAACCTTCTAAAGAGATTAAAATGAGTTAACCCTTCAAAATGAGTGGTTTACTAATACTCCTATATAGAAGGATTAAGAGCTAACCGTTCTAATTATAAAGAAAATAGTCGAAATCCTTGTTATTCTCAAACACTAAAAATGATCATAAGAGTTAAAATAAAACTTATATAACGGGTTAATAATTTAGTCCTTCACATGTTAATCCTTCTTTTTAATTCCTTTTCATTAACCTTTTGTCAAACGAGACCTTATTTATTTATATGTCACCCTGCCCTCGTATGTCTGCTGCCACCGCCAAGTTTACGGGCAAGTTAAATTGGAGTAATTCTTGTTTAGTAACTATCAAACCCTTAGTATTGTATCCACACCCAAAAAAAAAAAATTACAGAAAAACAATAGAACCAGGAACATGTAGAAATTTATAAATAAATATTGTATATCTCAGCATAAGTACTGCAGTTGCTAAGCAAACTGCATCATGCAACACATTATAAATATATAGTTCATACAAAATAATCCTAAAAATTAAACTCGTGAATACATCATCTCCCCTTCCCAAATTGCTGGCTGATTGAGATAAAAAACGAAGGGTAGACCTGTATGATTACCTGCTGATCTTGGCTCACCAAAAACTCTACCATTTTCTTCATTACCAGCTCGAACTTGATTAGCTTCTTCCACAGCATTTAGAAATGGGAATTCACTCAAAATCTGACCAATATCTTCAGTAACAGTTTGAGCTTGACCAGCTCCTTCCATAGCAATTGCCAATGGTAATTCAACCAAATCTCCATCGGTATCTTCGCTAACATTTTGCACTTGATCAACTTCTTTCTTTGTCTTTTTGAGCTTGTCAGTATCATAGTGTGCTCTCTTATGCCCTCCAAGAGCTTGCCCAGTTGTAAAGCTTGCGCTGCAAATTTCGCATACGTGCTTCTTTTCATCTCCTGATTTCTTTCTATCTCCCTTCAATCCGTCATCATCTCCTTCTCCTTTCTTATTTTTATCTTTGCTATGACTAGTAGCATGCCCACCGAGCGCTTGATGACACGTGAATGACTTGCTGCAAGTACCACAAACATAGGCTCCCTTCGATGACTCCACCAATTTAATCTTCTTTGCTACTGGTTCATTATTATTGTCATCGTCCTGGTTAGTGTCAACTGACAATTTTGCAGTAATCTCAACATCAGGATCCTGACCAACCTGTTTGTCAATCTTGTCTTCAACCTGGGATTTAATTTCTGTATTCGATTCTTTTCCTTCATTATAGAGACACATAAGATCTTTAGCTCCCTCAAATACTTCAGGGTCAGTTATAGGACCAGGTGGATATTGCTTTCGTAGAGTTCTTTCTTCTTTTGATTTCCACTTTAAGATTTCATACCAAGGGATGTGTGGATTGGAGCGTATTTTCTTAAAAGTTGCAGTAAATTCTTCCTCATTCTTTTCCTTTTCTTTCATTTCTTCCTTTGGATGAGTCCTCATGTGCCCGTGAAGTGCTTTGACAGAATGAAAGGACTTTGGACAGAGTTTGCAGGGGTGCATATTGTCGATTTCTTTAGCTTCGAAAGTGGGTGATTCCTTGCTTGATGCTTCTTTTTCTCTCAGAATAATAGGATCTCTGCCTTCTTTGATTTGTTCGTTAGTGATAGAGTAATTTGTAGATTCATTTGCTTCATGCTTGACAGGTGTCAGCAATTTTATTTTGACTCGAAGGTTATTATTGCGTTTGACAGGTTTTTCTTCTGACCTCAATACTTCTATTGCATTGCTTTGTTCGTGATCGAATGTGCACTCCATCAAAAAAGAAACCTGACCACACACAATACATAAATCTGAGAGAAAAAAACAAGCATCAAACTCAAATAAATGCTGATAATATGCAACATAATTGATGAACATATGACTGTCAAATATAATCAATTCTGATTCTGATTGCAGGTATTTCAGTCAACTTTTACTGTGACCACAACACAGTAGTTTTTTAAATTTATTTATGCTGATAATAAATTTCAACTTTTAGAAATCACTGATGACCAAAAAAGGGGGGTTTTGGTTCTAGTCCCGTGCATATTTCATATTTTGAAATTGGTCCCTCAAATCATTAAAACTGGTATTTTGTACCCTAATTTTAAATTAATTTTAAAGTAGTCCCTCAAATCATAGAAAGTCCTTTGGGGTCCCCCAATTCCTAAGTTGTTTTAAAATTAGTCCTTCCAATCAAGTCTATAAATGTTAGAAGGATTATTTGCTTGCAGCCACTAGCCTAATGTTTCATTGTTCATAGAAGTGCCGTACGTGAAGCAGATAATGCACTTAGTGACTGATCATGTAATAGAGGGTTTTGCCGCTAAACAGATAACATACTTTGGATTAAAAAACATTCAGGTCTTTTTAAGCCTTGTGCATTGTTATGCAAGTTTGGTTCGTAGAGAAACTCTGTTAATGAAAATAATGTGAGCCACTTTTGGGTATGCAAGTTACATTCTGTCAGTCTCTCTTATTTACTGTTCAATATAATCAAGAGAAAAGAGATGGAAATATACAAGAAAATTTGAAATAATTGGCAACTCAATATAGCAAGGAAATCTGATTAAAAAATTCTAAGAGAAGCTACCATATATGAGAATAAAAAAATCTAAGAGAATAAAAAAATCTAAGAGGAAATCTGATTAAAGAAGCTACCATATATGAAATATCAATGGAGAAAATTAAGAAAAAGGGACTCACTTGAACTTATTCGCAAGGGGCGATCGATGGACAGGATTCAATGGATCCTTCGAAGTTACTTTTATACGATGAAGGCATTAGACTTCCTAGTGGAACTATAATTCAAAGTCTAATTAAGATTTATGTCCTAGCCTTTATTGGATTTCCCCCGATACTTTCCAAACAGAAATTATAGGCCAGATCAAAAAATTAAACTTAAACCCCTGAAATTTGCAGTTCAGTCCCTAAAATAGCTGTAAAAAAAATTCATTTGAGCTCAGTTTTGCAATCCAGTTCAGAAATTGTAACTTACCCCCCTGAAAAGCTGCAGCAATTGTAAAACAGTCTAGATTTACAGTATACTCCCTGAAAAAGCTGCAAGAATTGTAATACAACCTAGATTTACAGTTTACTCCTTGAAAAAGCTGTAGGAATTGTAAAACAGCCCAGATTTGTAGTCTACTCCCTGAAAAAGCTGCAGGAATTGTTAAACAATCCATATTTGCAGTTTACCCCCTTAGAAAAGCAAGAAAAATGCAAAAGAGCCCAGAATTGTAATTTTACACCTTGGAAATTTGTTGTTTAATCCAGAATTACAATTTACCCCTAGAAAAGTCAAAAAATGCAAAACAGTCCATAAAAATTACAATATACTTCAATCCCTGGAAAAAAAAATCCAAAAACTAAAATTGCATATCAGTCCAGCTAATTACACTTCAATCCCTGGAAAAAATCCAAAAACTGAAAAGAAACAACTCAAAATCTGAAGTTTACACCCCAGAGAAAACGCAGAGATTGTACTTCAATCCATTTTCGCAGTCTAGCCCATAGATCGCAGTTGCGTACCCCAAAACGTTGAAAATACAAAGACAAATTCAAGGAAAATACAAAAGTCACCAAACTCGACACGAACCTCTATATCCCTAAACTAGATAAAAACTTAGCGTAGAAAGAATGACAAACAGCTAATATTGAAACATTAATTTTGATAAATCACGTCGTCACCATCAATGGGCAATCCAGACTATTGATGGTACTATTCACTCATCGATGGTTACTGCTCATCTCCTAGGAAAATTATTAATTAGCTCCTATAGTCAATATATCAATAATTTACTGTAGACCATCGATGAGCTCAACCTACCTTAGCTATTATAATAACAAACCCAATAACCGAGTCAAAACTCATAGCTCGAGCAAATTTCAGTCTTGATGTATGTTTCTTTCTTGCTACTAACTGTTTCGAGCTATACATCTCTGAATTGAGTTTTAGTTACTCCTATGGATTCGTAAGAATGAGACGGACATTCCCATACACTCAAAATAGAGTTTCACTCTTGAAAATTTTTTAGAAACGGTTGTGAATAACTTGTTATCTTGCTCTATACATTTCTGAACTTTATTCTAACTTCTTGTAACTTTTGTACAACTAGGTTTTATGGACGTGCAATGCACGTGATTAAATACTATGATTACGTATTTTTGGTTTATTTCCTTACTAAAATTTATTTCTCAGTTCCACTTTGATTGTTTTTGCTCACTTATGTCTTTAAACTATAGTATTGTGATTATTTATTTTCTTCAATGTTTGTTAGAATGAGCTGCACCAAATTTAAATTTTTTACGTTAATAATTGAATTGATAAGAAATAAATGTAATCTAAAACTAATTTTAATTTTCACGTTATTTAGATCGACATGAAACCAAGCTTGACTTGAGAAGATATACTGTTGTAAAAGTAAAAAATACTTGAGAAAATAGCTTTATAAAAGAAGGATGAATAATTAAAGCTAGTAAGCCAAGATAATTAATTAAAAGTGGGCTAGAATGAAACTAAAAAGAATATAAATTTTGTTACGAATCATTGATAGACTTCAGAAAAAATCATAAAATAAAGATTAAACTAACTCTAGTGCACTTTTATATGATAAAAGCATCCACATAACCATATAAAAATATTGCGGGGGGGGGGGGGTTGAATATGGTAATTGCTAATCTAATAGTCTCTTTTTTCCTTACCTTATTGGATTTACAAATAGTAATTGTTGTGATAAATTGCATGCACATTGTTCTTCTTTCAAGACTTAATACCAACAGTTTATAGCCCGACAAAATCCATGAAAACTTAATGAGAGAACATACTACAAAAGCTTGAAAACATGACTAAAGAAATTGTTTGCTTCTTTTCTCTACTTGACAATACAAATAGGAAAAAGTCTAAATTCTTACCTCAATATAAAGATTATCTTCAACTGTGGCTCCAAAAGATCAAACCCGGGTTGAAAATTGCAGAAAAAACTCGAAAGCAAAGAGAAGAGAGCTTTGGAGAGAAAGATAACCTAACCCTAGCTCATGAGAGAGTGTTGCCGTGTTAATTTCTAACAGAAGAAGTGCTCAAGAGTTTAAATGATGTGAGAAGTAATAAGTAATAGTGTTAGTGATGGATTGCTGTGGACTGTAAAATTAGGAGTCTGAATTTATTTAGCAACAAAATTTTCTGTTAGTTTCCAATCGACTTCATCTGTGGAAATTTTATTTAAATATCAAAGAAGTATTTTTTGAGGATAGAATCCTAGTAGGGATATGATTGATTGTTTAAATTTAGAAGTAAACTGGTAATTGAGATTTGAATTAAAGAAAGTTCCATTGAAACAAACTTTTACGCGTGAGTGGATTATTACTAAAAATATAAGGCCTAATTTGCTATCTAACTTGATTGTTAAGATAACCGTGATTCAGTTGAGGACTCGGGTCCTAGAATGGCTTGAGAAGTTAGTTTGGACTAATACTGTGACCACAACACTGTAGTTTTTTAAATTTATTTATGCTGATGATAATAAATTTCAGCTTAGAAATCACTGAAGACCAAGAAAAGGGGGGTTTTGGTTCTAGTCCCGTGCATATTTCATATTTTGAAATTGGTCCCTCAAATCATACATGCTCCTTTTAATGAAAATAATGTGCGCCACTTTTGGGTATGCAGTTACATGAATGGATGATGACTCTTTTCTGTGATTGTTCTATGTAAATATGTCTTTTTCGGAAATTACGTTCGTAACATGTGTATAATGATCTTATTATATATGATGTTGTATTAATTTCTCCATAACTTTGTGATGTTGAATATTATACAATGGCAATGGTGATTTTCTTTTAATTTGATGGAATTTTAAAAATATGCATACTCATCATTGATGCGGCACATGATAAATTGTCTTGTTTGAAGTTATAGCGGATTGTATTTGATGTCAGAGACAGCCCATATTTTAGTATATATATATTTTTAAAATAAATAAAAGGAAAAAAAAATCGCAATATCCTTTGCTAAAATGAGCGTTGCCTTCGCGTCACCACAATACGTAACAATCGCTGCCCTTTTAGGTAAAAAAAAAAAAAAAACTGTTCTTGTAGCTATGCATCGAAATTGTGGACATTGAAAAAAAAAAAAAAAAAAGAAAATATAACTCCCAAAAAATATATAAAAAATAAACCGTCAAATTCCTGAATCTTGCATCTCCTCATCACACATCAATGCTAGCTCATTGAGATCAAAAACATGGGGCAGACCTGTCAAATTACCTGCTGGTCTTGACTCACCGGAATTATCGTCAGTTTCTTCACCGTTAACATTTTGAAAATCACCAAAAGCTCCACCATTTTCTTCCGTAACGGTTTGAACCCTATCAGCTTCTTCCATAGAATTTGTCAACGGCAGTTCATCCAAATTTCCGCCGGTATCTTCACTCATGCCTCCCACTTGTTCAGCTTCTCTCTTGGGTTTCTTAAGCTTGGTAGGATCAAAGTGTTTTCTCATATGCCCACCGAGAGCTTGCCCGGTTGCAAAAGACATCAAACAAGTCTCACATACATGCTCCTTTTCATGATCTCCATCTCCTGACTTCTTTCGATCTTTGTTCGGTCCATTCCCATCCTCTTCGCCTTTCTTGTTCTTCTCTTTGTTATGGCTAGCAGCATGCCCACCGAGAGCTTGGTGGCTCGCGAACGACTTCTTGCAAGTGCCACAAACGTAGGCTCGCGATCCGTCTAGTTTCATCCTCTTCGCTTCTGGCTTGTCATTA